GGAAACTATATTTGGCCCTAAATATACTTTTGTTTCGAGTTTTGTAGCCAGAAGATTTACACTGGCGTGAAAACTGTTTGCAACATCCGGTTCGGGAGTTATGGCATTACAAAATTCCAAAATTAGGTGTGCCAAAAGTCTCATTATGGACCGATATCCTCAAATTTTGCACGTAAATGCACATAACCACGAAGAACGTTTTACACCGATCCACTGTTCTAGCATGTTTTTCAAATTTTAAAATGAATTTCAAAATTTTAAAATTCATTTTAAAATTTCAAAAAATCATGGAAGTCTGGATCGGTGTAAAACGATCTTCATGGACATGCGCATTTACGTGCAAAATTTGAGAGATCGGTCGATAATGAGACTTCTGGTACACCTGAACGCATTTAAACTTTTTGGAATTTTGCAGCAGCCATAACTCCCGAACTGATGTTGCGCACAAACGGTTTTCACGCCAGTGTATACAATTCTTCTGGCTACAAAACGTCATAAACCGAAACAAAAATGTGTTTGGGAGTGCGCGAAAGTGTAAGTTTTCGTGCATGTACACGAATTTGGTACCATGTACCGGCCCACTTCCCTTAACTGCTACGCTTCGGTCATACAGTGCCCGCCAGAAGCGAGTGCACTTTCCTAGTTGTAATCTGTCTCGTTGGCAAACATAGGTCCGAGCAGTTCATATGAAATCGCCTCGGTTCATGTTCGTTAAAAGCTGCTTGAAAGCCTGCTCTCGGTGCCTATGAGCTTTTTTTATATGGTTTCGACAGTAATGGGTAAGCCAGTCTTCTGTAACTTCGAGGAGACTCATCTACAGATAGTGAGAGAAACAAAAGTCTTGCCACTTTGACGTTTGGCCGACGACAAATAAGTTAATAACGTTAGAACATTTGGTCTCATACATTTTGTCGAAAATGCAACTCGATTAAGGGCTTCGTTCGGCAGATATAGTCAGAAATATCCAGGGGCAGAGTGCCGCAAGCACTTCCTTGCACTCCTAATTTTTTTTTGTTGTTTATCAACCAAAAATCTGTCCGTATAATAAGCTTCTAATACTTCAGTCTATCAAATGGCCGTTTCAGAATATTTTTTTCAAATCTGAACTCCGTAAAATTCGACTTCAAATTTTCCACTTTAAAAGCTAATTTCTCAGCAATAACAAAAGCGCTACAACTACTGATTCCATTTTAAATTACGAAAATCATTTCTTTATGTGGCATATGCTACGGTGTTGTGTAAAAGTGCAACGCGCCGGCGGTATGCCCGTTTTCGCTAAAAGACCGAGTTGCTCAGCCGCGTAAAGCAGTCCAGAGAAGGTAGCAAACTACAGAGCTCTGTAGGTACAGTAACTACAGTTACAATATGCCGATGGGCCTGCAAACTGGATGGTGCAATGGCAGATTCTGATCGCAGTGATCGCACCTGATGGCGATTTCTTTAATGCAAACCACTGATCGATTTTGGGAGGCGTAGAAAAGCGAACTGTCGGTCCGCGATTTGTCGTTCGGCAAGTTGTGGTAGTCAGCAACAAGTCGGTCAGCAAATTGTCGGTCAGCGAAATGAAGGTCATAGAGTTGACGTGTGCGTGTGCGTGCTACCGACATTTGTTTGTTTATCTTTGGTCTCTGAGCAGTGGGCAAGCTTGAGCGCTGCTAGTAATATTATTTCAGAATCTGTTCCATTATAGATGGTATGTAATATGTATTATATACCATTTACAACGGAACTGATGCTAACATTAACGCCAGTCGGCAGCCCTGCACTATTAGCTTCCGCACGCCGATCGGGAGAAGCTCGATTGCATCGTATTTGCAAGCCGCTTTATGGTAAAAAGGGAATCTTGTTTTGTACTGTCCAGTTGCTAACTTGATCTCAGCACTGAAGGGAAAAATAGCATATTCCGGCTGCAGCCAGTCAGCAGTCCTTCCGAATGACTGTAGCTTTTTGTTGCGTTATTACTGTAATGTATCGCACTATCGCGCAGCAGAGTTGCCTCTGCCTATGCAGTTGAGTCAAAGATTTACAAACAAATTTCTCCAAAATTGTTGTGTGCTGGATGGCTCCCGCTCCGTAGATTGTGTGCAACTCGTGAGCTCGAATTACTTGGCAAAATCCCTTTTTGCATATTATCACCATGATCGATGTTATTACCATATCACTATCCGTCACGTGATCAGCGTATACTTGATGAATGCCAAAGAAACGCGCAAGGAGCAATGTAAATCGGTGTGTGTAAAGAGCTAATAGCGAATTTTAGATTTCACAAAACAAGTTACGTGCAGTTCGACGTTCGCATAGAAGTTGGCGTTACGGGTTGATTTACGTCCGTTCGCGACGTAAGGCGCCGTAACCCAACGTCGTTGGCTGACGCGTAAAAACTATCTGCCTTACGTGGAACTGTGCAACGGCTCAGCCATATGGCTGGCTGAGCAATAAGCCAGCGTATGCTGCCTGTGGATCTTTTTTGTGTGCTCTAACCGCCTCCCCGAGAGCAGGTTGGTCACGCTCTCGGCACTCTCGATTCGATTTATTTTTCAGCTGTACGTCACTGCAAGTGTGCATCCGTACAAGTATTTTAAACGATTTTCAGTCTGCAAACGTACTGTTTATGTGACGCGGTAGTTTCTAGTGGACGGAGCCTAAACCATGTGAAATCTAAAATTCTCTAATCAGTGGCGTTCGCCGATTAGAAAAATTTAAACCTGTACAAGCCTCAGGTGATCCCTCATGCTCTTAAGGGAAATGGCCCGGTACATAGCGTCCAAAATGGTATACAAACACTAAAACTTTCGCTTGCTCGCACTCCGAATCACTTTTTTGGAATACTTTGTGTCATACATTATAGCTCAATGATTTGTTTGATTGTCTGAAAACTTTGTTTGAGCATCGGTTGAGATATGGTGTATAAAGGTGAAAAGTTTAATGATTTTGGTATAAAGTCTGAAAGATACCCGATCTTCTTGAAACTCTGCTGTATAAGGCGCATGGCCATGAAGTCGAAAGTGAACCAATATCAGATCCATAGCATTTTTTTCCGATTTTAAAATGAATTTCAAAAGTTTTAAAATTCATTTTAAAATTATTGGAAAGTGCTATGAACCTGAAATTGGTTCACTTTCGACTCTATGGTCATGTGTCTTTTGCAGCAAAATGTCAAGAAGATCGGGTAATAACCAGACTTTTGGTACACAACGATGCATTTAAACTTTTCGCCCATTTTAGTACGCCATATCTCGGCAACCGGATGTAGCGCGCCCAAACGGTTTTCAGAACAGTGTTTACAAATCATTCAGCTTTACAATGACATAAAGTATTATAAAAAAGCGATTCGGAGTGCGCGAAAACGAAAATTTTGGTGTATGTATCCTGTTTTTGACCCCATGTACCGGGCCATTTCCCTTAAACCTTGAGAAAATGAGGCCACTTGAAACAAGAACAGTCTGTAAAAGCTTGTCCCGTAATTACTACCGCAATAATACAGCGACAAACAAATTCACGGGTTTTCCTAAACTCCATGTTACAGCACGCCACATCACACTATTTACGCTCTGCTTACCTTTAGCATGGCTGATGAACGAAATATCTTTCTAATCAATAAGCTATGTAATTGTACCGATACAAATTATAAAATATGAGCTTTCGTCCTTTATAATTATCTCAAATGTTTACAGAGTGAAATTTTCACTGAGGTTGGCGTAGTGTGGTGGCAATCGTTCATAGTTTTCGTAGCGAAGCTTCGCGCTGAATATCTGCAACTTTACGATAGAAATTCCGGGACAAGCTTGTATATGTTCCTGTAATCTAGATCTGGATCACAAGAATGCATGACGCGCAATAATCGCGCATTACATAAGTGGTATGCCAGGTTAGTGATCGCAGTTTGGTCACTTTACTAGCTTAGTATACCGTAATTATCGAATTTGTGGCTCCCCGCAATAAGAGCCCCCCCCCTGTAATAAGCCCTCCCGACCCTGTTTGAAAAATAAGGCCACCCCCCGAAATTACGCCCCAGAGGGCCGTTAATAAATGTCAAGCGCTGCAAAATGATAGGTGTACCGCAAATGTTTTATAAAAGTTGCTGTGATTGTTAGCAAACTTTAAACGGACATCAACATAATACGGTATTCGTTGGCAAAAAGGTGTATAGGGACCTAAGTTTATGCTCGAAAATGTTGCTGGGAAGGTTGCGCCGTTGCGTTTACCGGTAACTACTGCGGTCAGTTTTACTAGAACAGGGTGCGCAGTTGTTTGAAATATAATGCCCCCTCCCAAAATATACCGTTCGAAAAATAATGCCACCCCCCGAAATTGCGCCCCCTCCCCGAAATAAGCCCCCCTCCGCCATAGCCTTCGAACTATTTGTACCCCAGGGCCACAAATTCGATAATTACGGTATTTGATGTCTATCGTGAAAAACGATATGTGAGCGTGCCGGTTTACAGGCTCGGTGTGCTATAAACAATTAACAAGAATTTAATTAGCCAAATGAACTTCCCGAATGCAAACGAACTCTTGAGAAGCCACGAATGATAATGTGGCAGATGCCGCATAAAATGGCATCTGCCACATCATCCTCAAGCAGTTGCAAACTTTTTGAGGTGCTTCTAAACCAAATGCGGAAATTGCGAGCACATACAGCAGTATAAAGAAGCACCTTAATACCGCCACTAACTGCCAAACTGTTTTGCATAAGTCCTCCCTGATTGTATAGTGTCCTGGTATAAATGCAATATGTTTTTGAAAAACAACATACCAAATTAAATTACCAGTGCGTTAAGCCGTACACATGTCTCGTGAACAGTCTTTTAGGCAGTCGATTGTTTCGGCAGTAACACGCACCCGATTCAAACATGAACACCCAGACTTCCGGCCAAGATTCCAAACGCATACATTTCTTTTTGTGAAGAAAGTTCAAAAGGCCTAGAAGATCTGTCCCTCAGTTTGTCGATCAGCGACTTGCGGGAATCAGCAATCTGCCGGTCACCAACTTAACGAGCTGACAATGAATAATTTATTTTATAAAATAAACTAGACTCAAAAGCAAGGACTTTTGTTTTGCAGGCAAAAGAATTTTGGCTGGTCAAGAGAGTCAATTCGATAAGGAGCTGTTACCAGTCGGTAGTAATATTAGGCGTCCTAACGGAGCACACTATAAGGAACGACACTGCCCACGAAAAAGGTTATCAAATTTTCAGCAGCACAAAGTTCCCGGTTCGACTTGGACAAGGTTTCTCTTGAATTTACACAATGTCGGACACAAGCCGCAGTGTGTTTTCTATGGTTATGGGCTCGACTTCTGACAATCCATCATTGTAACCTTGATTTCGACAAGGTAGTTCAATTGGTGGGATGGAATACACTGTGCTTTCGGCAGCCACACTATCAGTACTTTCTAGATGCGCGTGATCTCGCTTCATGGAGCTTGCGTTTCTTGTACGACGAATTCGAAATCCGAAAGCCCATCGAGCGACATAGAAGGCTAGAGCAAATACAATACTTGAGCCAGCTATCCCCCCAATACCACCATAAATCCAGGTGTGAGATTTAGCGTGGGACTCGAGTTTGCCGTCGGCTACTGCGAAATGTAAACACACACTTGGTAGACAAGACAATAGCTGCTTGTTTACAATTCCAGTTACCGTTAATCGGGGATGGTAGCGCGACTACAGACGGCGACTGGCTGGGTAAAACTGACTGGTTCATCGGCCGTGCTGCAAAAATTGCTGAATAAAAAGTCGTCCTTGCATAGAAGGATAGCTGGAATCTTGTTACGTATTTGAATCAGTTACGCGCTCACAAATAACGCACAGCTGTAACCACTATAGAAACATTTGGGCGTTAAAAGCGCATTAGAAATTGACATTTTTGACGAACGGCTAACCAAAAGACGATACTTCCAGGTACCTGCTTTATCCAGTCGCTTGACGTACATCCTCGAGGAAATATTCCTTTCACAAAATCGTACAGATGGCGCGATCTTGTTTTCACCTAATTGTAAGGAAATGTTATTGAAGGCTGGCATCATATTTTAAAGAGGCACTGCCTTTCATTATTGGCACAAAATTCTTTTCAATTTTCAGCCGGCTGAACATTGAAAAGAATTCTTGCCAATAATGAAAGGCAGTGCGTACCTTGATAGCCATCACAAGCTGTAGCCGATGGCCCGCGCTGAAGCGCTGAGTCTGAGTCTGACCCCTAAAAGGCTGAGTCTGACTACTGAAAGGCTGAGTCTGAGTACTAAAAGGCTGAGTCTGACTACTGAAAGGCTGAGTTGAGTACTAAAAGGCTGAGTCTGACCATTAAAATGCTGGGTGTTGCTAAGACTGCTAAAGTAATATCTCGATGACTTAAACTTTTGACCGGAAATATGCGCCATATGGTCCAGCGAATCCTCGTGTTACATGCAACGCAAGTAATGTACAAGTACAACTGCAACATTTTAATTACCAACAAGTCAACAACCCATTCGGAATCAAATACGGGACGTGCACCATACGTCTTTACGAGTATAACTTGCAGCAACACGAATGTCGAAAAGAACAAAAAAATTAACCGTAATTATAGCCGCTATTATACATTTCCAGCCAAAATAAAATTAAATTTATTTCTTTTACAACTATGTAGTTACTGTACCATGTGTGCTAAATAATAAGCCGGTAATGTGCGCATGTAACCAGATCTACATATAATAAAACGTTAATATGCACTGACTAGTAAACCTGTACAACAAAGCTCAATAAATCGAAAAAAACACATGCATTACAGCAATAGAGTATACGTAATAGAGAATAGAGCAGATCAGCATTAACTGAAAGTAAAACGCACCTGTCGGCTTCAAACTAAAAATAATAATATGAGATATTTGTTGATGCTCGTTTCATGCAGGTTTAAAATAATTTAGCTAATTACAGCGCTAATTACAGCTAATGTAAATGAAGCATAAAACCCATACAGCGTTAATAGCAGCAGCATTATCAGCCTACGAAGAATAATTATACTGCAGTAGCATATTCTCCCGAAGTAATATTACAGTACAATTTCGATAATGCACGACATAGGCATACAAAACCACCGATTCGCCTTCGTAGCCGATTAGCTGGAAATAAATCCGAAATAACTAAGTAAAGACTGCAATGAACAGTCCAAATTTTAGAAGTTGCCACAAAATCGTAATGACGTTATCGTCATGCAAGAATTACCCAGACGCAGTTTATTATGACCCACTGTTTATTATGACTCACAGTATCTCTTAAAATACTCACAATATCCCTCACAATTCATATTGTAACAACAGCCTATCTGACAGCTGTTCTAGTGGGGTGACGATCTGTCTTTACCATGATTATGCGGCTGTTCGGATGAAAGGTGGGCACAACCGGCAACGGTGCTGGCCAAGGATGCTCTTACTGATGCAACACTATTACACAGGTGGCCCCGATTGGGATGACACAGGATCATCCCAAGCGGTCAAACGCAACAACGTAACTCAAGGCAATGACAACGGCGTCCAAGAAACTGAACAAGGTTGATCAAGTAGATGGTGCAAGCTGTAGCAAGCGGAGTACAAGACTGAATTCTAGAAATTCATGAGAAGGAAAAGTAAAGTAAAGTTTCCTAGTTTGCTTTCCGTAAAGTAATAATATTTGTATATTAATCGGTGTAATAATTATACTTGATAATTATGTATAACATTCGTAACACTCATTCTAAAAAATTGTGACGCACTGCTTTTTGTTCAGCCATCCTTAGTGATCGTCGTTAATTTAAACAATTCAGCGCCATGTACGTAGTTCAGTTAACGTTAGTGCAGCCCTATTAATAACATTTATATGGAAAGACAGTTATATATGTTTCGGATGAGTGATTCACAAAAAAACGCATGTGATACACAGGTTTGCATGTCGGTTCATGCAAATCGCTTTCAGCGCTGACTGATAACGCCTGGGCAGTTATAACTTTATCTCGTTCGGCACGAGTATGGTCGTGGTTTGGCAAATTTTGTTCGAAAATACAAAGACTGACTGCAGATGCCAAGCACCTATCGGCAGCTACCTTATACACATACAATACTAGTAATCCTGCATTTTATCGGCACGGCAGCTCAGTTGCATACATTTTGTATATTTTTATATACTTTATGTATTTTCGCTATGTTTTACATTAAATATTTTTTCTTTTTTCTAATTTTTAAAAGGGAAATGCTCAAGCTGATACACGCTCGTGCATCGTCAATGTGAAAAACTGTGAAAATAAGGTGATCAGCCGCTGCACTTTCCAGTCACCTATTTTGCGCGTTTGCTTGCGCACATATACGTACGGAATAATTTATAATGCGCAGCGGGACTTTCGACCGCATTACTATAGAACGCTACAATAATATAGATAAACCTCTATGAAATAGTATACACGGATAAACCTCTATGAATCTTGGTGTACGAATACCTTAAAAGATTAGGTTTTTCTTCTTATTTTGTTCTTAATAATTGGTTATAAAATCTGCCTCTGATCAGTAATTATGCATAAGGCGCAGTATGCATCATTATGCATCTGCATATACGTACGTCTGTAAAAAATGAGTAGACACAGTAAATGAACGTCGGTATGTGTAATTTTTTACATGCGCCATGAAATACTAACCGATTACGTTAATTACTTAAAAACATTAATCGCCTTGTGCCTGTGAATTAAACTGATTCCTAATCACGGTAAGTACAAAACCGAAACGGTCCGATTTTATCCATAGTATTTATTGCTAATTCTAAAATAACGGCTCTTATAATCTTAAGTGATATCCAGCAATAATTATTTCAAAAGCCCAAATACCTGATATACCGGCGGTAAAGTTAAACTCATCTAACTAAATACAGCTCGATACACATACTTACACAACATAGGTTCCTATATTATCGCTATATGCATACTTCTTTTAAAAACCCTGCCCGCCTCCCTGGGACAACCACCTTTCCCTCGACGGAGCAGCGTATTTTTGTGTTTTCAGAGTCATGGCCGTACCTGTGCCCCAAACCCCTGCCCGATTTTCCCCAGACACTGACCTTTCTCCAGACGGGTAAAATGCGGAATCTACCGATTTCCGCATCCGACCCTGGATTTTGTCGCGACAGTGCTTTGACCCAAGCACTGGACCGCCTGTGGCCGAACCAGACCTAACCCGAGCCAAACCGACCCAGAACCATTCCTGAGCCGAACCTGATCCGAGCCGACCAATGTCAGATATGACACAGAAGCAGAGAGCAAAAAGGGAGCAAATACCTCTCCTTTATTGAGAATCAATAAAGCAACCAACAAAAACAACACAGAAAACCAATGCGGAAAAGCTGTGGTGAAAAGTGGCTGCCAGCGAGCTCGGTGGAAATCGTGGTAATGCCGCGGCATGCAGCAGCTGAATCACAGCTGGTACCGCAAAGCATGGAATCGCTCGTAAGCGCTGGGCCACACCTCCAAAGTGCATAGCGACGCTGATTGGTCAGCGTAGACAAAGTATACGCTGACGGCGACATATGACCAGTTTATGGCCACCATCAATAGCCAGATGGTGGACCTTGTTGGCCAAACAGCTGATGGAAAGAGGATTGATCGATGCCTTAAAAGGCCAGTATGACCCGGCACGTGCTCAACAGCACGCGCCAGCGCCAGTGGCACCGCTACCGCGGCAGCCAGACGACTTGCGCCATTATATTGAAACTTGACACCAGGACCAGACCGGCCAACCGAACCGTGGCCGTCCTCAGGAACGCGAGCCGCCAACGCGGACTTCGCCCGGAAAACGTAACGAGGATGAAAGCCTGGTCGTCTCTCGCACCAATAAGCGGCCCGAGTGGACTGTTAGCTCAGTGGCCCAGAACATCAGCATCCATGTCAAAATGGACACGGATCCCGCACCACCGTCATCGGACCCACCGGCCCGATCTGACGTCAGCACCTTTCCCCCGGCGGAGCAGCGTATTTTTGTGTTTTCAGGGTCATGGCCGTACCTGTGCCCCAAACCCCTGCCCGATTTTCCCCAGACGGTGACCTTTTTCCAGACAGGTAAAATGCGGAATCTACCGATTTCCGCATCCGACCCTGGATTTTGTCGCGACAGTGCTTTGACCCAAGCACTGGGCCGCCCGTGGCCGAACCAGACCGAACCCGAGCCAAACCGACCCAGAACCATTCCTGAGCCGAATCTGATCCGAGCCGACCAAACCGGGACCGAGCCGGACCAAACCTGACCGAACTATTCCCCATACCGGACCATGTGAGCCGACCGAACTGGACCCGAGCCACCTGGTAGTACAGTCTATTAGACATAGTACAGGGACCGTACCGGTCCCTGTATCCACTGTTGTTTTTACGGCGCATCACGCCATTTACCTGCACTTCGCAGGAGCTCAGTGTTGGACAGTACAGGGATGTCAGGGCGGGCTTATGATTCAGCCCTTCTGGCATTGGTTGGTTTTGGGTTTTTTCCTGTCTGGGCATTTTCATGCGTTTTGACGGCTCTGTACGCAGCTGCGCTGCCTACAGAGGCCAGTTGGTTTTTGGCTGGCGCGCAAGGCGCGGTGTGTGTGTCAGATTTCGGCATTAAAGCCTACATCCGGGTTTGCTTTTGTTCCTCCGTCGATGATCGATGCGCGCTTAGCCAGCGCCATCTGATACCTTTTTGCCCGCGAAAATTTCCTTACTTTTTTAACCATCGAAATTTCTTTCCTCTTTTTGACCAAAAACATTGCTTCCTTTATTTATTCCTCCCTCAACGGTTTCAGACTCAGACGTGAAGTTCTCAGCATTTCAATAGTTATACACTGTACATGGTATTTACAGTCATAATTAAAATGGATTTAGTTTTATTTTGGCCGGAAATGTCGAATAGCGGCTGTAATTATGGTTAATTCTTTCTTTTCAACATTCGTGTTGCTGCAGTTACACTAGTACAAAGTACAAACGTCCCGTATTCGATTACCGCATAGGATGTTGCCAAATAAACTCTTGCAATTGACAACGGCACAATCAGGCGTGCCGAGGGTATACGAGGCGTAGCGTGCCTAGCCATTGTCATTTCAGTTGAGACAGTAGCGCGAGGCATATGGGACTGCTTTACAAGTATATGCAAAACTCCATTCGGAATCAGATCAAACAACTTCTTTCAATGTCGTTTTCGTTTTAATATCGTTTACTATAACAACATCTAAATAAAGTTATACAAACTCCCATATATATGGAAGATCTAACCGTGCTTTTGCGCTGACATTGTGCAAATCTGCTTAAGAGTTCAACCGTCGAAGTTATATCTGCAGTTGTGCGATGCATGCAGAATATGAAGTTGAAAAGCTCATATTTTTGAATTGTGCTTACAGTGAGTATGTCCCTTTAAATTTTCTAAACAGTCTGTGAATTAACGACAGTTGTTTTAGTTTATTGAATGCTTGTATTACCTAATTTGACTATTAACTAAGATCATCTAAAACGCGCGCTAAATAACAATGTATTTTCGATTTTATATGGCGTGCATGCGTTGTCTGGGATATCTTCAGGATGTACTTATAAATAATTCAGATAATGTTATAGAGCACTGTAATCAGGTAATGGTAGTTACTACTATGTATTAGTTATGTATATACTTTTCATTTTTTTAAACGAAACATGCTGCAGCGCAATTGCTGATAGTAAATCGCGGTGTAAACATTTCACAATACTGGTATATGATAATATGAGTTGAAGTTTTTACAAAATCGACAACGTTATTGTTTTTGCTTGCGAATTGGGACACGGCAGTGGTCTGTTAAACTTCTCAGAACTAGTTCAGTTTTGTATAAAATTTAAAAAATGAATGATAAATCGTAGAAAAGTGCTAATATATAAGTCGTAAACTGTTAGCGTAACACAGTTAAACGTACGATGTTACGTCGTTGCTAAAAACTGGTCATAAATCGTTTTTCACAATCGTTGTAACGACAAGTAAACAACGCTCACACTTCACAAGTTCTGTACAAGAGCAACTCGAACGCCATTCAAGTACAGCGAAGTCGCCGCCTTGGGTACGTGTATATGGCAAGAGCTATAATTTGGGACATGGTTTACTTTTGCAGAAAACGGAGTGTGCCATTTTATTGGTATGGCTAAAATTGTCAAGATTAGCTTAGCTTTGTAGTAAATTTTGTGCTGAAAAGCTCCTCTTTGACTGTACTTTGAAAAAACAAACAGAAGAGTGAATGCGCGTAGAAATGTGAACTGCACTGATGTTTTTCCCATAGACGCATATGCTAAACCTTGCGAAGCGTCTCATCTCAAATGACACAATAGAGCCGAAATCACACCTCATTAGCGATTGTGCCGTTGTCAGTTCTATATCACTTTGTTTTAGCGTTGCATGTAATATGGAGATTCTCTGGACCATATGGCGCATATTTCCGGTCAAGAGTTAAAAGTTATCGAGATATTACTTTAGCAGTCTTAGGAATACTCAGCATTTTAATGGTCAGACTCAGCCTTTTAGTACTCAGACTCAGCCCTTCAGTAGTCAGACTCAGCCTTTTAGGGGTCAGACTCAGACTCAGACTCAGCGCTTCAGCGCGGGCCGTAGCCGATAGAAAAATTCAAAAATGTGCAACTTCCTTATTTGCTTACACAACGGCTCGTTAATGGAATACTCCAGCTGATCAAAGTTAAAGGCTTTGTGCAGATCCGCCGTAAGATTTGTCAGACAATCTACTGGAACGAAGAGGCTGTTTCTCCCGTACGTGCCATCGGCGAAGATGTTGTCAACAAGCATAAACTGTTCGTTTTCCAATTTACCACGCCATGCCACACCATTTGTTCTCCACAACCAGAACTCGGCAAAATCACAGCTACAGTGCAGGTTTTGCAAATATTCTAGTCGATGGATGATACTCAGACGGCTATTGGTATTTACTTCAACAGAAATATTACGCAGAATTTCATGTTCCAAACTCAGCACTTTCAGATGCGGCAGATTACTGAAGGTTCCCGCCTCCAGACTTTGTATAGTTGTCACACTGAATCTTAACGTCCGCAACTTGTTCAACCCACAGAAAGCCTTTTTCTTGATGATTAAATCGTTACTATGAAAGATCATTAGGTTCACGAGGTTCACAAAACCGACGACCGGAAGTATTGATGTACAATGTTTATCTTTGCACGAACCATGATATAATAAGCATCCGAGTGGCTCGGAATGCATCGGGTGCTTCATATCTTTGTGGGCCATCCTCCCACATTAACGCAATGGCGCGTAAGGGTAAGCCAGCAACGGTCGTTGCAACTTTTTTCCAATCCGCCGCTGTAGTACTGTTGTTGCATACAAGCAGTATAAAATTTCTCTTGGAGCACTGATTTTGAAGAAAGGCATTATTGCCGCGTTTCAGCTTAGATAACGTTGAACACGTCTCCTGGGAAAGAGGGCTCTTATCGAACTTCGGGAGTGGGTCGAAAGCATCTGCGTTAGTCCGCCGCACCGTGCAATTGTAGGCAGTATGCAGCTCAACAATGTCCTTTGCACTCAATGTCCGCCTTTGCCCCATTTGAAGGCGCCTTTGTTTCTTTGGTGAAGTCACTTTCGGAAGGAATACCGGCAGATCCGGGTTTCTAGGGTCGGCAAAGTCAAATGCACCGGATTGCATTATCGATTCCATGTCGTATTCTGTACCATAATCGGGCATCCGCGGGAGTTTGCGGAACACCACGCTGTCCGGTGGAAGTTCCGTACGATTCAGGTAAATGTGCAAGTAACCATCACGATCAGCACGATGATGTTCGTGAAAGAGCCCCAGGGCATGAAGAACAAGATGCTGAATGGCACCGCGGAAAATGCATGCTTGCGTTAATGTGATACTCTGCTGACCGCCTTGTCTACCCACACGTGACTGACATCTGCAAAACAGTGCAAATATTCGCTATAGCCCACATTTAAATAACCATAGGTGGCACTTTTTACCTGTTTCCTGGTGAGAATACAATGTAATCATCTTCTTCAGTCCTGGTTTTGAATGTTATGCAGTACGAAGTCTGCGAGGAAATAGAACTCAAAGCATCCTGAATTTCGGCAAAGTCGACACTATCTGAGCAACCAACACCGATGTTGTCGATATATGTACGTAATGCATCTCTCAACAAGCATACACAGAAAGAAGTGAATAACCACTGTCACGACTTGGTATTTATTGTAACACGACACAATACCTGCTGGTGGTCTCACACTGATGACCATACCGAGGGTGCGGCAGCCAAATTGAAACAGCTCTTTTGAAAATCGTCAAAAATTTAGTTTTTAAATTTATTTGACAAGTCGTATTTTTTTCTATTACTAAAAACATTTTTCTTTAATCTGACGCTATTTTCGTGTTGATTCGAGTATCCATGGCTCGGAAAGTGAGTTCCGAGGTAAAGTCGTCAATTTTGACGCTTAACCAGTTGAAATGGAGCTCTCGAAAAATCGCGGATCATCTTTTCGCTCGTGGAGTGAAAGTTTCTTATAGTACCGTTGTTCGTGTTATCAATAATCATGATCCAGCTCGTGGGGGAAACGGTTCGCCAGTTAAAAGGCTGCCTCTTCAGAACCTCCCCAAATCAGCCACTAAGACCAATATTGCCAAAGTCCGTCGGATGATCGAGAACCCTAATCCCCCGACTCAGAAACAGATGGCGAAGAAGCTCAGGGTGTCTACGCGTGTAGCCGGCAAGAATGTTAACATGTTCACGGTTCACGCTGTGAGCATATTTGCCGGGCGAAAATGCTCACGAATGATATCTTGCACGTAAGGTGTTAATTTTTCCTTCATTCCATTTTGAACCAACTTCCGAACGACAAATCGAAATGTTACGCACCCGAACTGGAAAACTGCAGCAGCATAACGCGGATTTGCGTTTTGATACAGGCGGCGCTACATCCGGTAAAAGTAAAAGTTTCTGAATAATAATAATTTTCTCACCCAGTGATTTTTTTTGAACAGCACAGGATGGACGTTGAATTACTAAATTAATGTTTATTGATCAGATTCTTTATTGAATTAATGAGCATAGAAGCCAGGCGGAGATGCTAATGTTTGCTACTGTGTGGTAATCGGATACCGCTGATGTGAGCCGCATTTGCAAGCAGATCAGAGGCACTTGTCACTCTGCGTGGCTGTATGCTAGCCAGTCTGCTTTATGCTCGTGAACATGGGTGCCGGGCGGGGATGTTCACGTTTGTGAGCACGCGTGCCGGGCGGGATGCTCACAAAAGTTGAAGTACATGTACGCGCAGCGCTCTCAAAACATAGTTTGTTAATAAATAAAGGCGATAATAATGCAATATAAAAATCTACAAAGTGTCCACAAAGTAGTATTTCCTTCCTGCGATTTATCTGTGCCTGATAAAATGATTTAACAAGCAAGATATAGCAGCAGTGTGAAAAGGGAAAAACTGCTCTCTGATATGTCCACTACCGTACAACACAAGACGGGATATTTCTTCCTGCTGATCTGGAACGATAATTTCGTGCATTGTACATCGCGCGGCTGCGGTGCACCAAAGCAGATGCCGACAATTGTCAGTGGGTAAACTCGATCAGCAAAGTGACTGGTACTTTCAGTCGAAACTAAAACGCCTAACTCTCGCCTAACTCTCATTTGTGATAAAGGAAATTTTCTTGTGGGCATTTTGAAGGGAAAAATTTCACGAGTGTAGTCAAATGTGATATGTACGAATGTTACTTTGGATTGACAGAAATATTTATTTTCCTATTGTGAAAAATTTGTAAATGAGTTTGTTTCGTTGTTTTTGTCATTTTTTTTAAGTTATTGTACAATCACTGAAGCCCAAATACGCTTAATCTAGCTAATGCAAGAGCGATTTATTCAGAGGAGTTACAGCTTAGGACAAAATGGTCGCATACCCAACATATCCACATTCAGTACGAATGCAGTGCAGTGCACTGTACGACTGAGTTCAAAATATCCGGTTCGTACAAGTGCACTGCACAGCATGCGTACAGAATGCTGGGTATGGGGCTATGCGACCATTTCGTCCTACATTGTACCATGCAGTTACGCCCGTAAGCATCCTAAATCGACGATTCAACATTCTTGTTTTTTTATTTAAAAAAAACTGAACATCCCAGGCGGCATAAATACGCATGAACTCAACGCTAAGTGGCTGACTATTTACGAGTATTATTAAGACACGCGAAGTACTCGCGAGAATCTGCCTTATTAGAGAATTAGCGCTTCTTATCAGCTTTTGATGAGAGCAATTTATATTACCGTTCATTACGGCGATTACCATACAGCTACAAACGTGAACATCCCCGCCCGGCACGCGTGCTCACAAACGTGAACATCCCCGCCCGGCACCAATGCTCACGAGTGTAATGTGAACCAACAGCGCGTCTGATCTTCATACGAGAGCGGCAAATGTTAGTGGTATCCGATTACAGCATAGATCTTACATCGTGAGCATCTCTGCCCGGCTCCCGTACTCACAAAAACGGTGTACAAAGTAAAAGGTGGGCAGCTCTTACGCACTGCCGGGACAGTGTGTAAGCACTGCCCACTTAGATATATGTATATACAAGAAACAGCCTCGGCTTCGCCTCCCCGTTTCTTGTGGTCAACGGCCACTTTATTTGGTTTTCAGTGAATATTTATTAAACTGCCAATTAACGCGTTAATTGAGGTTAATGCTACATCGGCGATGCCTGCTAGCCTTCGCCGCCTGCCCACCATTCAGACCGGATGTCTTTTGGACGCTTTGACGGCTCAGCGGCGGCCGCGTGCTTTGTCGTAGCGTTTTGCACACGCTCGTTTCGAGCTGTCTTGTGGCACTTTTCGCATGCTCGCCTCACGAGTGTTCATTTTACGTTAGCTCAGTTCTTGTTCAGAACGTCGCTGATTTTGTTCTTCTGCTCTCGAAGAAATTTGAAAAGCTTTCAGAAGTCTTCTGAAATAAATTTCTGCAGTATCTACTGCCTCAGTTCGTAATTGGTCATTATTCTGCGGACAATGACTGGAAGAGGTCGAAGAGGCACTCGCTCGCGCGGCACTGCTAGCTCCCGCGGCATCCGCGGCGGGCCACGGACACGCGCAGCGGCCGAACTCAGCAGCGGTAGGAAGCGATCAGCGGACAATCCTGACGGCACTCTCGCCCCGAAACGGATAGCGTTTACGGTCGTAGTTCCTCCAGAGTCCTCCATCAGTTCGGCATCCCAGATCACGACTCTATCATCCCAGATTGCAGCCATGCAGCAGCGAATAAACCACCTAGAATCGCAACAGGAAAGCGCTAGCCGGAACGCGCTGCACGTTGACGCCCTCCAGGCCACAGCGCTCTCTATCACCGTCCTCTAACCGGGTCACCACGGTGCAAGGTAAGGACACCGATAGTGTACTCGAGATTCCTTTACCAGCTCGCCAGCCGGTGACCGAGCGGCTCGGAGACCCAGTCAACAACATCCCGTCCAAGTACAGGGATCTAACAGCAGTTCCGAAGAAACTACGGGATCAGCTAGTGGACCGCGAGCAGTTCGTCGACCTGGCGGACCTGCTGCCACAAAATCGAGCACCATCCAAGCGGCCAGCTCCCGGCACGCGCATGGTGCTTGACGAAAGCACTGGAGAATACACCTTCACGGCCGCGGCAAAGAAAGAGCAAATCACGACCTTCGCCGCCTGGGCGCACGCCTTTGGAGTGTTCATGCAATATAGAACACTGGACGCCCCGGAATTCACGGTACCAATGCTGAAGTACCTGGGCATGATTAGTCTCTTCGCCGATCCCAGTCGCGGTTACAAGCTCGAGCACGTCCTAGAATACGACGCTCAATTTCGGAATTACGCAACGAACAATCCCGACGACACCGAAATCTGGACCAGGAAACACGACGAATCTTTCCAGAATGCCATCGTAAGCCCTGTTGTCACCGTTGCCAGCGCAGTTCCAACGAGCAGCAACAGGTACAAGTCAGCCAAGTGTAACCGGTGTCATCAGATTGGGCATATAGCGGCAAACTGTCCCGATGGTGAGCTTTTTCGGACAAACTCCGCCGCAGACGGAGAAATCTGCCGGAAATTCAACCGCGGCATATGCTCAACGCCATGCGCCGGAAACCGCAAGCACGTCTGCAGCTCCTGTGGCTCCGCCACTCACGGCGACTACATCCACCGGCAAGCAGGCACTTCCAGCAACGGCGGCCGCTTCAAACAGGAGAACCCCGCTTAACGCAAGTGAATTTGCGCGGCGGCTGGCTGATCATCCCGATCAGCAATTTGTTTCATATTTAGTTTCGTGTATTATCAACGGTGCCGACTTGAAATACAGCGGTTTATTGCGTTCTCGTTTTACCCCGAATAGCTCATCTATAACTCTCCATAAAAGCATCGCGCAGAGCACCATCGCTCAAGAAGTGGAACTGGGACACACGAGAGGGCCCTTTACAAAGCCTCCGTTCATTCACTTCACAGTGAATGCGCTAAACATGCGCGAAAAAAAGAGCGGCGGGCATCGCATGATAATGGACCTCTCCCGCCCGGCGGCCGACTCCGTGAACTTGCACATTCCCAAAGACGATCCTCCGCTAAGATTCTGCAGCATTGACGATGCTGTACGGATGCTCCTGGACTTCCCAGTTGGAGCTGTGATGGCTAAACTAGACGTCAAGTCTGCGTTCCGTTTAGTGCCGGTCATGGAAGGTCAGCACCATCTGCTCGGTTACAAACTGTGCGGAAAATACTACTACGACGTAGTGCTGCCTTTTGGGTGCAGATCCTCTCCCGGCATTTTCTGCAAATTTTCGGATGCGATTATGTGGATTTTCAAGCGCGAAACCGGCCATGCTGCCATCCTTGTTTACGTGGATGACTTTCTCATCATTGCTCATAACGCGAGAGAATGCGCGGATTTAATTCGAAAATTCACAGATTTATGCGCTGACCTCGGTGTGCCGCTAGCCTTGAACAAACTGGAAGGACCGGCGACCGTTATAACCTTCCTCGGGATTCGCATCGACTCTGTCTCTCAGATCCTTTCCTTACCTGCTGACAAGTTGAATGACATGACGTCACTCATGACCACTTGGGAGCCGAAGACTGTGTGCACGTTACATGATCTCCAAAGCCTAATTGGAACGCTGCAATTTGCATGCCGATGCGTGCCGGCGGGAAGGCTGTTCCTGCGACGAATGATTCGGCTCATCAGTGGTAGTGACAAACGGCCGCTCGCTCAGATACAGCTGAGCGCTGGATTCCATCTTGATCTTCAGTGGTGGATAAAGTTCCTGCCTTTATGGAACGGCACGAGCAAGTTCCTCCAGCCAACGTGGTCCGGCCCGAACGTAACCGACTTATATACGGACGCATCAGCCGTTTGCGGCATCGGTGGTTACTGTGACGGCGAACGGTTTCAGTCTCGTTGGCCTGCGTGGGTCATCGAAAGGAAACCCTGTATCGAATACCTGGAAATCGCCGCCCTCCTTTTTGCACTGCATATCTGGGCTCCAAAGCTACACCGCATGCGAGTATTGCTCCATTGTGACAACCTAGGGGCCTCCCAAGCGTGGGAGAAGCTGGGTTCACAGCATAGCGGAGTGCTAGACTTAATGCGGCGCATGTTAGCGCTATCAGCCCTGCATAACTTCACTGTGAAGATAGTGCATATAAACGGATGTGACAATGGAATCGCTGACGCGCTATCACGCTTTCAGGTAGCACGGTTCCGGAAACTGGCACCGCTCGAAAAGGAGCTCCCGGAAGTCACTCCGGACATCTGGACCGAATTGCAGACCGCTTTCGATCTCCCGACAGACTAGACGTGACAGTGGCGCACCTCCAGTACCACCATCTTGCCATTTCGACAAGAACGACCTACGGTGCCGGCTGGTCGCGGTTTCTGCAATTCTGTATCAACGACGGCGCCCTGTCTCTACCAGCGACAGAAGTAACCGTGCTACGGTTTGTGGCTCAACTTTATCTCCAAAAGATATCGCCTGCGACAATCAGAGTCTACATGGCCGGAATCGCCAATGCGCACGTTGAAGCGAATTTACCGAATCCCACTGTGTCGTCGGCGGTGAACAGAGCCATCGACGGCTGCAAGCGCATTTGCCCCACAGTGTCGGACCGCCGCCTTCCCATTACCCTGGACATCATGCGGCACCTGAAAGATAGTATCAGATTGACCGTCGTATCCCACTATGAGCAGCGGCTCATTTGGTGCATCTTCACGACGGCGTTTTTTGCTGCACTTCGAGTAAGCGAGTTTGTGTCCCCATCGCCCAGCAAGTATGACGAGCGAAGCACGCTGTTCATCAACGACATACTGGAAAACGATCCCTCGATGACCCTAACGATTCGACAATCCAAGACGGACCAGTTTGGACACGGGTACAGGATCGCGCTGCACGCAACCGGCCGATCAGTCTGTCCTGTCACCGCGCTACGAAACTACATCGCGGCAAGGAAATCTTCCAATCTGCACGCGCTGCCGCTGTTTGTGCAAGAGAACGGTCAATTTGTCACTAGAACGCATGTCGACCGATGGCTTCTAACTCACCTGCGCGGAATTCCCGAAAAGCATAGGTACGGAACGCACAGCTTCCGCATCGGTGCGGCTTCAACAGCAGCCTCACACGGAGCTTCGGAAGCCACGATTCAGAGGATTGGGAGATGGAAGTCCTCCTGCTATGCAAGATACGTCCGCACAGCTGTTCCGACACACGCCCTCGACGCTTACGGACAGAGCAGTGGTTTGGGGTAGTTTGGGGTTGCCTGTGCGGCTGGAGCGATCAGAGGTGGCCAACGCACTCGCGTTCACGCACCTTGCTCGCGCTTCCGGTCAGCAGCTTCTCCAGTATCCCCCACGCGCTGCCACGATTTGCATAGGAGACGTAGAGCATTAAACAACATATTTCGTCAAAGTATTAATAATCGGTACATCGGTACATCGTATCAAAGTATTAATAATCGGTACACCGTGTACCGGACAGTACCGGTAGCTCGGTCACCCGCTCACCTAATGGGTCCCGTACCTTGGACAGTACCGGTTGCTTGGTCATTCGTTCGCCTAACGGGCTCCACACACTGGACAGTATCGGTAGCTTGGTCACCGCTCTCCTAGCGGGTTCCGTGAACTGGACAGTACCGGTTGCTCGGTCACCGGCTCACCTATCGTTTCCCGTACACTGGACAGTAACAATAGCTCGGCCATTCGTTCCCCTAACGGGATCTGTGCATTAAACAGTGCCGGTAGCTCGGTGACCGGCTAGCTCGTTTGCCTAACGGGCCATTTGCGCTGGACAGTACCGGCTGCTTGGTCACCCGCTCGCCTAACGGGCCTCGTACACTGGATCCTACCGGTAGTTTGGTCGGCCGGCACTCGTGCAGAAATTGTCCTCGATGACAACGTTACATATTATATAGTCCTTCCGGTCGTAATATGGATCTGCTAAATAAATTCATTTTGATAGTTTAAATAGTAGAAATGACTTTCATGTTTTAGCTATATTTTAGTTGGTTTACGTGGCAACATTGCCTGGTAAAAAAGTTCCCGGATAATACTTATTATTATTACATTAATTTAGTTGCATTTGGTGAAGGCAGTCAAAACTCTTCCTCTTTGGCGTTCGAAGCGGAAGAGGTTTTGAAAGAAATGAATACTATCTGGCCGGGTTTTCGACTACGGGCTTTCAGAATATAATATTGGTTTGGGTCAGTCTTTTCTGGTTTGCCGGCTCTGGTGTATCCCATTCGTGGCTATATAGATCTGAATTAGGATAATATGAAGACCTGAAAGAAACTAGTAGTTCATATAAACATGGGCAGGTGTTCAGTCACAGTGTACTGGTACATGTAATTCCCATGCTGTGTATATCAAACACGGTCGGCATGCAGGTTACCTGCACCTTGATAAAACTATTCTAGAACCAAATGATATGCATACTGGTCTCGAAACCTTACGTGCGCGCAACAATACAACAACCGGAAATTACTGTATAAGTAAAACTTAACTGCTGGTTTTCGTGCCGAAAATAGAATTTTATTTTGTCTTCTAGCGATTTTACTGCGAGTGGTTAATATGTACAGAGATACATCTGAATAGAAATCTGTTTCATCGTACTTTCTTACATGTTTCACTGATATAATTTTTTAAATTCATTTTAAATTGAAAAAAGTTTAATTCACCTAATTTTTTAACCCAGTGAAGGTTTACCCATCAACTGGGTACTGCCTGACTGAAAACAGTGTTTCGTCATGCAAAAATGATCAAATGTGAACTCCTCTTTACAGTCCTTTTCTTAAATATGGTGTCTCCGTGATTTTTCAGGAAAATCTACATATAGCCTGCATAATATCTTTCGTGAGCATTTTCGCCCGTCAAATATGCTCACAGCGTGAACCGTGAACATGTTAACATTCTTGCCGGCTACATACGCGCACTGTGGGACGTCCTGAAGGAAAATCTCAGCGAACAGTTGCGCGAAAAGCGTCCGGTTCACGCGTTGTCGGATAAGCAGGCCGCGCAGCGCCTCGAGCGCGGTCCTGGCTTTCTACGTCTACTGAGTCGACGAAAACTACCCTACATTGTCACTATTGACGAAGCATGGTGCTATCTCGATTATGTAAACGGCAGACGGCGGGTATTTTACAGCTTTTGCGGATCGCGGGAACGAGAAGATTGGTACAAGCACTGAAAAGCTAAGAAGCCTGCAGGGTTCATGTTTGTTGCCGGCATGTTGTTTGTTCATATCGATGCGCGGCACCACAGCAATCCGATTTGTTCCTCCCAAAGCAAAAGTGACAGCTGACTACTATATCCAGTATGTCTTGCAGCCGTTATACGCCGAATGCATACCGCGACTGTATCCGGGCGAGGAGAAGAAAGTTATCCTCCACCAGGATAGTGCCCTGCCCACCAGGCCTCCAAAACGCGCCGCTGGTTGGAATCCGGTAAGAGAAAGTATATTCCTCCAGAGAAATGGATGGCGAATTCGCCTGATCTGTAGCCCATGGATTACGGGAACAACGGAAATTTTAAACGAATTTTATACGGGAAGAAAGCAACTTCATTGTGCGGACTGGTAACGTGTGCTCGCAATGCCTGGTCGACATTTCAAATTCCTTTTTGTCAAAGAGTGATGAAAGCTTGGCGCGGTCTCGTTCAAAAGATGATTGAATGTCAGTGCTAGCAGATAGGACACTTGATAAAATAAAATCTGTATTATACATTTTGTAAAAAATTATTAAAAAACTGTTTCAATTTGGCTGCCGCACCCTCTGTACGCTAGCAACATGGTTGCTAACTTGCTATACTGTGCCACAAAAACAAATGCCTCCTTCACAAACTTGATGAAGCCGATAAATGCTTTGCATGTTTCGGAAGTTCTAAGCCGTAGCGACTTACCGAAATTGTTGATTAAATAGGGAAGGTCTTTTCCATTATTCGGCCAAAATCTGTCATCAGGTAAATGCCCGGATTCCGATGGAGGATCGGCACTCAACGCCTGATCGTCATAGTGGTACATAACGCCAGCGGAATCAACTGCTGATGTGGTCAGCTCCGAGCGCCGTTCCCTTAGAATCTGTTGACTAAGAAGTGACGTCCAGTCTAAAACAATATGTTGTCAGCAACTCGTTTCGTGACAAAGAATTAAAATGAAAGGATAAGATGAAACACCGTTTTCCATCGGCTTTGTTTGATTAGCGTAGCATTCATGTGAAGTGGGCGACGTTGTCAGGCATGTTCGCAAGACCGCTTTCTCGCAGCTTGGAGCGTTGATTGAGTAGTTGGTTTGCTCAAAATTAATGATTGATGCGCTAACACGAGCAGGGTTGGCGCCACAGTCAGTAGGTAGATAAAGGTCTTCCTTGTTCAAGCATAGCCATTCGGTAGACCATCCAATGTTGTACTCCTTAACGTCCACGGTGAATATCGCTCCGGAATCGGACACGGTATCTTTGCAAAACGACTGCACCGTCGTATTCGAGTCATGCATTTCGTCGGGCAGCCGGAAGTGCATTCGGTTGATGACGTGCGACTGCAGCCAGCTACGATACTCGGCAAACTCACAGCTGCAGTGCAGCTTATGTAGATACTCGTAATAGTCGGGTGGCACTATTAAATTTGCCAACGTTTGGCGTAATCCGTATTCCAAAGAGAGTATCTCAAGGTTTGGTAAAGTGCTGAAGGTGAAGGGTTTAATGCTGACCATCGTAGTTCCGGCGAAAAACAGAGCACGAATATTAAGAGCGTGAGTAAAATCTTCGGCTTGCACGACAATATCCCGACAGCTACTGACCGAGAACATGACCACATTAATCATTCCCAAAAGGGATATAAAAGCTGTTGGGCGATTTCCCACGCGGAAACTTGCAATCTGATCGGTGCAAACGCACGGTAGACAATGTAGTTTCCATCGGACAGCGTTAAGTCTACACTGCGTATGGGAGGTTTGGCCAAGGCGAAACTGATTTCTCGCACTTCGCTCACCGTGCTATCTGGCCAGCACTGCATATCTAGAGAGTTTCTTTTCCGTGTGAAGTCCTTATACTGCAGACAATAATACGCGATCATCTCTTCGGTGATATGCCGCGAAAGTGGCAAGGAGACAGCTTTGGGTCGGCACGATCGCCCAAATAGCAGTTTACACTGTTCATATTCCAATTCGGAGCTGGAAAATGTTTGCCGAAACTTCAGATTATGATATGTCGCGTTGGCGTGGCCCGGCAAACAGTACGGTTCGTTGATGGAGAAGGAGGTCTCGTTGAAGTTGATCATATCGAAATCGGATGGAAACGGACGCGCTGCGCAGTCAATCGGAATGTAGATATCAATGGCTGTTATCTCGGGGCTTTCGATCCATTCAAACATTTCAGATTTTTTTAGAGGTACGTCAAGCAACTTCTTATCATAAAGCCATTTTCTTAGCCACGAGAATTCGCAGTCGCAGTGAATTCGCTTGAGATAATTCCGGAAGTTGGCCATATAAGAATTAAAGACAACATCGTTTGGAGAATCAACATATCTCGTTTGCCATCTCGTTCCAAAGTAAAACGTTAAATTTTTGTGCCACGCAATAACTCGCAGCTCCGGAAGATTCGTGAACGTGCCTTCTTCTAAGTACAAGATTGTAGTCTGCTCAAACATTATACTTTTTAACTTCATTAAAAACTGAAAATCGGACTTTTTAATTCGTATGTCCAAGCATCTGAACAATTCCAGTTGTAGCAGGTTGATAAAAAAAAAGTTCGACAGTTTTGCCGTTGGGTCACGATTGTCGCAGGATTTCATTATCAGAATAATCACTTGTTTTTCAACAGGAGTCAGTGCATCTTTGGTGATTCGCCTGTCGAAGAGCGACACAAGTATAGGACGTAATGGCGGTGTCCCATCGCAGTGGCCATGGCCCGTAAATTAGTCTCGTTGGCTGTCAGGGTGCAGTTGATAGCCAAAACAGCCTGACGCGTGCAGTTTTCTCTGTTGTACTGCGGAATGCCACAGTAATCAGCAAACTGTAGCGCGCACTGCTCGGCTTTCATAGGTTCTACAGAAAAGCCGGGAAACAACCGCTCCTGATCCTCGGCCTGCTGATCTTCCCAGCCAACTTCGCATCTATAAGCATTGCGAAGTTTAGCAGCATCTCGCACGCTTAAACCCTCGCGTTGCCCCATGCGATATATACCGTCATATCGGGGAATTATGACCGGGTGGTCCACCGATTTAGCAAAATCAAACGGCCCGTAGTGCATGAGCGACTCTAGATCGTAGGCTGTGCCAAAAGTGGGCATGTTAGGAATGACACGATACTGGGCTTCATAGCCTTCCATAATCTCGTCTTCGAAGATAATCACACGAGCATTGCGGTCATTCCGACTGTGTTCGTGAAACAAACCGAGGGCGTGCAGGATTTCGTGCTGCACTATTCCTAGCTGCATACACCGGGCAGGATGCAGAAACAGCGGCTGCATGCCTCCGCGAACACCAACATACGACGAACAACTGTAACTGCCAAAGCTAAGGTATGCGAAGTAAATTCGTAATTACTGTATAACGATTTACACGCTATTATCGCTCAATAGTTTAGAGTAACTGCTTTAAACAAATACATTTACTAATACGCCTGCGTTCCTCAGTTTAACGAAACAGAAATTTTGCCTCGCATGATCCGATCAACACCGGAGACTGCACGCCACCGAAACCATGCGCTTAGACTTTCGTCCATAAAAATTCTGAGGAAACTACATCAATTCTAAGCAATATAGGGGCGTACTTGTCTCCTGGCTTGAAGTGAATATAGTCCTCGTCTGTCCTTCTCGCAGTGAAAGTCACACAACGTAAAGTCTTACGCTCAATTCCTTGTATAGCTTCGTGGATAAGAGACTTGTCTTGCGATCCTGCAAATATGCCAGGCATTTTGCGTCAAATATGACAAGTAAACAGTGCAGTATTTGCATAATGGCTAACGCTACTCCGCTTCATTTCCTTTAAACAGGATGGCTAAAACTTAACAGTTTTTTACCTTACCAAAAAGCTCGCTTATATGATAAGGAACTTTTCCATTTCCCCATAACTTTATATGTTGCGACTGGTTCCCTGCAACCGTACAAGGGAAAATTCATTTCCAAAATCAGCAGAAGCCAGCAAATAGTACAGTTTATGCAGTGACAAATATAAGAATTACAATTGCTTTTACTAATTTGTAGCGTAGAATGCCGCCGATTGCTTGCAAGGGTTATTAACGTAGATACACCGATTGTTCACTTTTTACTCTAGGCGAACAATTTTTATTTAGGCTCTGATAAAATTCTTTTTACTATTTCACACAACAAGAAACGGTTGAATTTCAGCACAAAGCATAATAATGTTACTAAAATCAATTTTCCTCTTACAAACTACGACAGTATCTGGCGCACCCCGCGTTACAATTTTTAATTGGAAGCTTTCCTGCTAATCTGGTGTAGCGAAGCACTATTGCAAATCACTTTGACTCTTTCACATTAAATAATTTTTTTCTAACAGGTTAGTACACCTGCGGTATCATTAACACCGAATCCAACGCTAGCATCGGCAAACATAATGTCGTTTTTCAATGGTTTATGACTGTTTATTTCCGATAAATGCGCTTTCATGGTGGCCGGATCGATACGGTTTTCCCAGTCTACGAGCACACAGTTATGAAATTACCGCACAATCGATAAGTTCAGTTCGTTGACCCTGCCTCGAACAGTTACTAAGCTGTAATATGTAGATAACGGTGATCTTCAGAAACGAAAAGTCAAGACAAAATACGGAGACAACATTAAATATAATGACTTTTTTCAGATTGACGACTTCAGTGTTTCTTTTGTTGCTAAAACTTTCGCTTAGATAAATGGGTCTGGTAGTGAAGCGTAAAATTAAGAGTTTAACTCATTCTGCCGTAACCTCTCGTTAAGGAAAGTGACCCAGTACCTGCTATTCGAATTTGTACGTAGGCGAACAAGTATCTCGCTTTTACTCACTCCCAAAGACTTATTTCCATTGTTTTGTATTGGAACGAATAGCATTATTATTTGGGAGTCAAGAAACACCCGTGGAAATTACTTGGAGATTAAAAAAATTAATAAAGGCACGCTTTAACACGCCGCACTATTTACCTTCAGGCAGGTCATCCGATCTATCGTCCATATCAGCATCGTAGTCCCTGTTGTCCCGAAATGCAGCGACAAATCGAATTAAACCTAGAGAAACACATACGAAGTACACGAATACAATTCTTCTCATCATAATAAAACAATATGACATTGTTGAAGTTCAGTTTAGAAGCTTTTGATAAGCATAACTTTAATGACTAAATATGTACGGTATCCCATGCGCTAGTTAGTTACGAAGTTTTCTTAGCACATCAACAGCTACAAGTACTACAGTAAAACCGCTCCACAAATTCATTATGAGAACGTAAGAAGCAATATTATGGTGCTCGTCTGTTATCTTCATCGGAGATCACCGATGGTATGACGTGTCTTGCGTGGCCAGTTTGCCTAACCATAAGGACGATCGACTTGTTGATGAACTGAAGGAAGTGACTAACTGAACAAGAATTACCCGATGACGCTTCCTTATATCTGTAGTCTGACAATTGGCTCTTGCTGTGACATATTGCCTCCATCCCGTCCCCGGGCTGGCGTACGGCTACAACACACACATTGTTTTTTTAATTTTAAACACGTGGGTAAGTGTCAATGCTTTCCTTTTTCCCACGATTTCTTTTTGAAAATTTTCAGAAAATATTAGAATTTAAACGCATGTGGGTTTTGGTTTCATCCATCGACCCCATCGCGATCGCCTCCCTCTTTTTTTCACAATACCATCGACTTATCACAACCGAAATGGTAAGAAGGATAGTTGGTAATTTTTTTTTAGTAACTATTTCTGTCGTCTTATGTGCTACCGCTTGCCGTTTACTTTTATTTGTTGTTATTTACCTCGGTGTCTTCATGCTAGTGCTTAATGTCGCAACCATGTTATCACTTCACGATGTTGCTTTACATTTCTGTATTTATGCTGTCTCGCTATCAGAACCTTAGAGGGAGCAACCGCTCCGTGCAAGGACAATAAACTTCCATTATTTATTTTTCAAAATAACGGTTTTGAATTGCCTTGATTTGATTAGAAATAATCGTAAATATACTGGATCTCGTAATTGGAGTAAGCTAATAACTCGAAACCTCTCTTTGTGTTACTTTTGTTACTCTAAATTAACGTTAAAAAGATTAAGACTCGTCGTTTCGGTTGGTAGTGACAAACTAGCACTAAAGAAACCATACATCGCGTGAGGCACCAAAGCATAATCTAAAACTGCAAAAATTTACATGAGCCGCATAGGACGGAAATGATTTACAATTCATTACGGTCTTCACAAGTGTATCCCACAATAGTCGTTAATAAAAACCTTTAATAAAACCGTATTTATCCCACAATGTTAATACAAGTTCCAACAAATGATATATGATGTATGTTCCTACATACTCATAACGCAAAAACACCGATTCCTAATGAGACTTTACTTCCATGTTGTTTCTAACTCAAATGAATCGTCGTGGTTTTGCAAGGACATGCAAGCTATGAAATATTCATAAAAAAATCACCATTGCAAAGATAAGAGTTCAAGCGTAATACAAACAACAAACTATTGCTTAACCGGCAACATCACTCACAAGAGTACCTGTAACAATACAGGTGATTACTCATCACATGGCACAAAGGCTTCATATTTGTAGCGAAGACCGAAGGCTGAGGATTGCGAATTAGAGAAATGGACAAAGAGCAACCAAATGTAAGTTACTAACGGATTAGCGAAGAACAAAATGCATCCACCTAGCAGAAGTTATATCTTCGGCTTCGAGATTTGTTGTGTTGCAGGTGATATTGCATTTTGTTGTTTCACCATGCTGGGAATCCCTTGTGGTGTAGTCTGCCATAATAATAATGAAGATACCATTTATAATAATAATAATAATGAAGATACCATTTATGAATACAGTAATCCAAGTCCCAAGGACCAATGGTGCTGCAGATCTTCTTTAACTCATGCAGTGTGCTCCGTATCTTCGCACAGGTACAGAATAAACCCGCACTGGGAACATGTTGCATCTTTAGCTTTGTTGTTACCAACCGTCCAGCTTCCCTGGCTATCCCTTCCCACATAATAATTTCGTTTTTTCAGTACCTCAGGCAATTGAGCCGTCTGCTTCCTGGCGTTCATCGTAATTATCCACAGAAAGTACCCCCCGAACAATCAGCAGTTTCGGCAACTGCAGACACTCCGACAATAGGAATTCCGCCAGTGTGAAGGGGAGAGACACCCAGCAGCCAACCCAGCGGATAGCCACAGGCTGTCCAGGACAAGGTTGCCCAGTTGGTAGCAGGCACACGAATATTCCGTGTCGATGCCGCTGTCCGTGTCCGCTACGTTTATTACGACTTTGTCGACTGATTTTTCATGTGAATCAGTACAAATATACATGCTGTTGCTTTAGTGGATTCCAGCGGCCCCTTCCTTTACAGTTTTTCATCGTGCAATAGAGGCTTTGAACAGAAAACACCATAACCATACCTTAACCATTCCTTATCGTGTAGTTGGACGACCGCCATCGAGGTAGCAGTGTACAAAGTACTCAGCGAAGGCGCATAGTTGACTCTGGGTCCTTTCAGATTTAATTTGTTTTCTCGCACTGCGTGAAACGATCTCTTTCCAAAAAATTACATCTACATTCAAAAATGTTTTCTCTATTCAAAAAGTGTATATCTGGGGAAGTTAAATTGGGCAGGTGTTAAGGGGAGCCTTTGAAAGTCCATCACCATACGACCCGTTTGTATGGTATTCACACTTACCATACGCTCGCACTTAACCATATAGTATGGTTAAGTGTATGGCTATGGTTAAGTGGAGCAGTTGCTCAAAGCTTCTAATATGTCCTGTCGACCGTAAGAACGCTTATTATATGCGCTCCCTATAGAGAACTGCATGGTCCATATCTGGGCTACCCGCTAGTTGAAACAGCTTCAAAACTGCAAGTACTATAGTAACCGCATACAAGGTCGGTTGCGCTCACTTCCGGCAGTATTGACAGTATGGGAAATCGTCTTTGTGCGCGGTTACTTTAGTACCTGCAGTTTTGTAGCTGTTTCAACTAGCGGGTAGCCCAGAAATGGACCAGTACTCTATAAGGAAGTTAGGAACCCATATATTCAGGCATTGGCCGAGCCGCCGAAATATGCAAATTCATAAACTGGTCACCTGTCACCGTATGTCAAATTTCATAGTTCCTTTTGTTGTCTTAGTTCCTGTTGTTCTTAGTTCTTTTGTTCTTAGTTCCTTTTGTTCTTAGTTCCTTTTGCTTTGCGATGAAGTTATGAGTGGAATTTCACATTCAATGTCTCTTAATAACAAAAACGTACATGAAACACACTTTTGTTGTACTTACAAACTAGAATAGATGGGTGAACAATGTATAAAAACGTTTATGCAATATGAAAGCAGTTTGTATGACGAAAATAGTAATATTAAGAGCTGTCAAAATTAAACAGGCCGCTAGTATCTGCGGCATGACTTTTGCGCACGTATCTGTGACTAAACCCTCCGCTATGATTAAGAGAAAAAAATGAAAAATGTTCCCACCAGTGATAACGCATACGTGATTGGAAGTGATCGCCGGATCTGAGAGCGTCGTGAATGTTGCATTCGTATTGTGTCTGTCATGGACAACGGAACACAAAAATTTCAGGCCTAATTGCGACAATCTATTAATTTACGCTTAATAATAGTTAACACTGTCATTAACTGTTATAATTAGTTCATCACGAATTTCTGCTCAATTAGTAAGTTAATAATAATTAATTAAATTACGCTTTATGATAGTTAACGCCGCAGTTAACTGCTTTAATTAGTCAACGAATGTCTACTCAATTAACAAATTAATTAGATCTAATTATTTACGCTGAATAATAAATAACAGCATAACACCAAAATTAACTGTTATAATTAGTTCACAAATTCCTGCCCGATTATAAGTTAACTAATTTTAAATCTATTAAGTAATTTACTCTTAATAGTTAATAAATAACAACCGTAATAACCTACCGTTATAGTGCAATATGGTGTCACTTCTGACAATTTTAAACAGTTCAGACAGAACACTTATAACGAGTTGCTGAGTGGTCATGAATGTAGGCATGAATTATAAAACCGAGCTAAATAGCTCGGTTTTATAATTCAGCAACTGAATCTCCATCTGACCAATGCGCGCGGCGTTATCAGTGAATCTGCTGACTCACAAATCAGTCCGTGAGTTGTTGCGCGCTCGAGCGTTTTGACTAGATACAATTCGCATCAGAGTCCCAATACGTGGTAAATTTGACAGACAACATTACAGAAAACGCGCCATGGCAAATAGCCTGATTGGCATTTGTAGTGGTAGTATCATACCGTTCAGTGTTGTATTCACCCATTTCATCAGCGCCGAAGCACTCCACCAAATAGGCCATGAATTCCAAACCATAACGCACTGCTGCGAAACGCGCAGCTCAAAAACCACCTCCAATGAGGAGCACTGCGCTTCTGCCCATCAGAATTAGTCCCACGAACAGTGTGAACCTCGACGCTTGCCAAGCATTATCGAGGACTATACGTATATTTACTCGTAAAATATGGCGATTTCGCAGCCCAGTAGGATGTCATCGCACCAGCGTACGTCAGCCCCTGCAAAACGGACAAAATTGTATTATCAAGAAAACCTTTACCGAAAAAAAGCTGTTGTGAGCTTGAAGCGGAAATAAGGTAAAATAAAGTTTGTTCTGCTGCTCTCTGGGTAAATTGCGGTATATGTGCTATAATATTTGCAGCCCCCAATCTGACAGCGAGTGCAAATCCGACTGTTTGGCCGGTTTGAAATCGAACGAGTTTTTTCTGGGATGAAAGATAATCTTAAAACGGATAAAAAAAAATCTTTTTTCCTTATTTGCAACGGTATTCAACGAAACGCAGTTGCGCGGTATGCAGGTACCGTTGTATGGCTGACGCAGTGCGTCGTGCCGTTGCCCATCATCCACAAGACTGTATCGGGACGCATCCGACCAAGCAAATTAGCTGCCATAGGGAATTTAGTAGTCATTTGGAAGGAGCTCATAAATTCATAATTGCGACTATGCAGCTTAGCGTGAAAGCCGTGCACTCCACGCAGAAAGCATACCAATGCTTCAGCTGTGTTGCCAGTTATTTCCAGAATCGACTTCCAGCAGGCAGTATTTGGACACATTCCGTGTTGGCAGCATACTTTAGCGCGGAACACA